GCCTGCTTTTGTACTTCTCCAAGCTAAGAATGTGTTCTAAATTCTAAACAAGTTGAATTCAAAAAACAAAGGACTAAGTAATGATCCAGGAAGTATCAAAAGAAGATGCAAAGAGCATACAATCACCATAATGAAAGAATTGGAGGATAGGGAACCATTTCAGGAAATAGCATATCATATGATCAAGAGTCCATGGTGATAGAGGAAAAAATTCAAGCTGCTCTAAAGGCATCAGCAAAAAATAAAGACCCAGGAATTGACAGAATATCAACTGACATAGTCCAACAAATAGCTCCACCCAAGAGGTGCTAACCAGGCTGTGTCAAGAAACTTGGCCAACTGACTGGAAGAGATTCACATTTATTACTATTCAAAAAAAATAAAAGTTATCTAACAGAACGTGGAAAGCATTGAGAAACATCATTAATATCACATGCAAAGAAAACATTGCTAAAGATTAATCAGAAATGGCTAGTGCAGTTCATCAACGGAGAACTGACAGAAATTTAAGCTGGGTTTAGAAGAGGCCATGACACCAAGGACTATCATTGCTAATGTCAGATGGATCTTGGCAGAAAGCAAAGACTATCAGAGGGATGTTTATCTGTGTTTTAATAACAATGCAAAGGCATCTGACTGTGTAGATCACAAATTATGACTAAAATTGAGAAGAACGGGAACCTCAGAACACTTAATTATACTCATACAACATCTATATATAGCCTCTCTCCTTTGTATTGCCTTTCAAGGAGGAAGGTCTGTCCCTTTGGGGATGTAACATCCTAATAAATCCACCTTTACTATTTTACACTCATTTCTGCCTTCTCGTCTTTTTCTTCTCATCCCTGTTGTTGTCATAGACGACTCATTGTTTCTCCAAGTCCATAGAGTTTCCTGAGGCAAGCCATTTCAGAAGTGGATGCCACTCCTGTTTCTAAGCTTGTTTTATTCAGGGAGCTCCACCAAACACTGTCCACCACGGGTAACCATTATCACATTTGACACATCAGTGTCACAGTGTTTAACATCACAGCAACCATGCGTTACCTCTGTACAGCAAATGGACAGACCAGTGCTATACCACTTAGAAGAATGTTTGACCAAAAACAATTAAAACCAGGCCTGAGGGTTGCAGATTAAAATCACCCACCTTTGACTTGGTAGCATAACTTTCTATCTGCCAGGCCCACAGAGCTCTATCTATGTTGGTGTTGTCATTGTTAAGTGCTGTTGAGTCATAGCGACCTAAATAAAATCGGAGAATTTTTCACCCCTGTATTCTAATAAAAAGCTTCTGCCTATACTAAAACAAAACAAAAATTCCTATACCCAGACCAAGAGGCTGTCATATGAACAGAACAAGAGAACACTACATGGTTTAAAATCAAGAAAGGTGTGCATCCGTTCTGTATCCTTTCTCCATACCTATTAAATCTGTATCCTGAACAAATCATTTGAAAAGCTGGACTTTATGAAGGATCAGAGGAAGAATCATCAACAACCTGTGACACAACCTTGCTTGCTGAAAGTGTGGAGGACTTAAAGCACTTGCTGCAGAAGACCAAGGCCTACAGCCTTCAATATGGATTGCATCTCTACTAGGTCAATAGGTAACATTATGACAGATGGAGAAGAGATTGAAGTTGCCAATGAATTCATCTTGCTTGTATCCAGAATTAGCATCCTTGGTACCAATATTCAGGAAATCAAAAGACAAGTCACCTTGGTAAAATCTGCAAAGACCTCTCCAGAGTACTAAAGAGCAATAATGTCAGCTTACAGACGAAGGTGCCATGGTCTCCCCTATTGCTTGTTATGCATCTGAAAGTCAGATAATAACTAAAAATAATAGAAAACTAGATGCTTTTGAGTTGTGGTGTTGGAGAAGAGTACTGAATGCTCCATGAACTGCCAGAAGAATAAACAGGTCTGTTTTGGAGAAAGTACAATTAGGTGTCCTTGGAGGCAAGGATGGTGAAACTTTGTCTCACATACATTAGACATGTTGTTGAGAACGGTAGTCATTGGAGAAAAGAACCTAGGAAAAATGGAGTGTCAATGTAGAAGAGCTAGACACTCAACAGGATGGATCAACACAATGACTCTAGCAATGGGCTCAAGTGCATTGTAGATGGTGAGGATGGCACAGGATAGGGTAGGCTTCAGATCTGTTGTTCACAGGGTTGCTATGCATTGTACTCAACTTGACAGTACATAACGAGTATGAGGTTTACACAGGTATGAGTTTTTAAAACATTCAGCTACACGTTCATACCCCACCAGTCCTTTGGTGAGAGCAAGGAATAGTAGTATATATAGTATATAGTACTTCTATAAAGACTGGAGGCCTTGGAAACCCCACTGGGGCAGTTCAGAAACCCTCTGGCCTGTTCACAAACACTATGGGGCAGTTTCTACTCTGTCCTGTAGGGTTGCAATGAGTCAGAATTGATCAGACAGTAGGGGAGCTGGTTTTTGGTTTATGTGGTCTACAAAGCCCAAAGCCTAAAATACTTATCTGTCCCTTTACAGAAAAAAATTTTCCATCTCCTGTACTACTTCAAAAAACCTCACGACTCACCAAACTGAGACATAAAGTTTTTCACTAAATACCTCTGAACTTCTAAATTTATGTTTCAGGCAACTTTTATATCTTCTTTCACCACTCTCTCTCTCTCTTCCTTGACCAGTTGTCTCTTTCCTTACTAGCCACTTCCTTCATAGAGAAGTACTTCTGCAAATACTTATCACAATATCCTGAGGCAAAAAAGCCTAGAGGATGATTATAACTAACTTACGTTTAACACTCTATTCTAATACAAGTTCTTGTTTAAAAAATAAACTGAAGTCCCACAATGGATAACTAAACTAGTAAACTGAGCCTAAGCTATTCATGAGTTATGTCAACTTCTCTATCTGTACACATACAACTCTGGGGCTGCAATGACCATTTCCAGTGCTAAGCCAATAAATCAACATGCTACTGTTGATGTGTACTGTCAAGTCAAAACCAACAGACAGCTGACCCTCCAATGGGTTTTCAGAGGCAATTAATCATACAACTGCCCACCCTTCTCCAACGGAACAGCTAGTGGATTCAAATCATGCGCCTTCAGGACTGCAGCATAGCTTCTTCCCACTAGAACACCACAGCTCCCTAAAATCAACAACAGACTGTAATAATATTCACCTATACGCAACAAACAAATGTTAGGCCCAAAATCATTAAGTCCCTGACTGTAACACTAAATTTCTCATCACTTAAGTCATACCACATGAAATCAAGAACGTTTGGTGACATAATTAAAACTTTTGGGGAAGGGGGGAGAGAATATTTGATGCTCAAAACATCAAGAATAGAGAATGCACTCAAATAGCATTACAGAATCATTCTGGAAAGTAGAATGAACCTACTGGACTAAAACTCTAAAAAGAACAACTAAGTTTTCATCTCAGCTCAGCCAGTAACAAGTGATATTAGGCACAGACAGTAGTAAGATCTAAGACAAGCAGTACAGATAAATAAAACCCCTCCTTCACACAACAAAAGGAGAATGCTAGAATCCACATTCCTTTAACTACCAAAACCTTTGCACTTTGGCTCAAGGCTTCTTAATTCTTCCCAACTAATTAAACACTGGGGGGGGGGGGGGATAAAAATCCAATGCACATACTTCATAAAGAGATGAACGATGAGTTATGACAGAATGGGGGACCTTATTTGGTTACCTGGTCCAAGAGTACCATCTGTAACATACCCTTTCGTTAAACAGACAGGAGTCTGACAAAAAGTTTTCTAAGGAGGGAGCTTATTCGTCTATATGATCTTGACACACTGCATCTGTATCTCTGATACAGATAATTAGAATTGTAATTTTTCTCCTATTCCAAGGGAACCTTTTCAGTCCCCGCAATAAAAGGGGCTCTGATGGACTGGTGGTAAGGAGCTGCACTGCCAACCAAAGGCCCCCAGTTCGAATCCACCCACTGCTCCGAAGGAGAAGGATGGACAATCTCCTCTAATGTGATTTACTGTCTCTGAAAACCCTCTGGAGGGCCAGCTACAAGCAGCTTCCGACTCAGTGGTACACAGCAACAGTAAACGGTCAGGCCCATCGAATTCAGAACCCAGCTAAAATGAGAGTGTGTATTCACTAAAATATGAGTGTGCGTGTGTGTGTGTACAGGAAGGACGTTATGGAAGAAGAATCTGCTGCTTAGCAGGCTCAGTCAATCCATCTTTCAGAAGATAATGGTTCTAACCAGAATTTGTGGTTTAATCAGTGCATATCTGAACACTAGTAATGGACCACATCCAATGTTTCAGGGAATAAAAACACTTATGCCGCGTTAAATGTGAAGTTCCCTCCTTGCCCCATTTAAACACCTTACAACATATCTCAGTGTTAGACCTTAACGAAAACAAAACAACAAACACAGTAACAGCAAGCCACCAAGCCTCTGGTTCACCCAGAGCAGTCAGCCTGCAGTTTGTCCTGCTCCCAGGTCTCAATCAGAATACATAAATATAATTCCTAGCCAGATCGAGCCAACCACCAGCCGGGCCGGTAAATCGAACACTCTCCCTTCCCCTCCTTCGTATCTCTCGGGGCCAATTCTGTGACCCACATCCCAGTACGCAAAGCCAGTGCTCAGAACCCCAAACTCTGCACCCCCTCATTATACTTCCGCCCCAGTGGCTTCCTAGTTAACCTTCACCCCAGCCCCCACCTCAGCTTTGTCTCGCCATCCCAGCACACACTTCTACGTTCCCCCAATGCCAACCACAGGCCTTCCCCCATCTACGACTCCCACCTTCCCAGCCTCGTCCCCACCTCTACGTCCTCCCACCCCTCAGGGCCCGTCACCCCAGTTCCTAGCCTCCCCAGCCTCGCGTGACCCGTCCCCTCCCCCAGCTTCCTCTGTCCCTTCCTTCCCCTCCCTCCAACCCCTCCGCCCACGCCCACCCCTGCGCCCTCGGGTCCTCCCAGGCCTTTCACCTTGTCCATGAGCTTCCAGCACTTCTCCACCATCTTCTTGTCCACGGTCCCCGGCGGATGGGGGCTGAGGTGGTGGTGGTGGTGGTGCGGCTGGAATGCGTCCTTCATGAGCCCGATCAGGCCACCCGAGCCCGAGCCCCCGGAGCCACCACCGCCCCCGGCCCCAGAGCTCTTTTTCACGTTGCCGGCCATGGCCCAGAGAAGGTGAGGGGCCTCGCCGGGTGCGCCGGCTCCGCTTGGCTGCAAGCGAGGGAAAGAAGGGCGTGAAGGAGGGGCCTCTCTCCGCCGCCGCCGCGGCCGCCGGCTATCGGGCGGAGGGAGGAGGAACGGCCGCGGGGAGGGCCAGTGGGCGGTGCCGGGCGGCGCGCGTCCACGCCAGGCGCGCTCCTTCAGGACGCGAGCCCGAGGGCGGGAGGCGCGCACCCGAGGGACGGACGGGCGAGGGGGCAGGAAGCGGCGTCGGCAGACACACTTAGCTGGGGCGGCTGCCCGCACCGACCCCCCAACCGGAGTACACACGGCTCCCGGAAAGCCTGGGCAAAGTTTCTGCGCCCGCGCCCCGCCCCACCGGGCGGTCGAGGAGGGCAGGGGCGGGGCCGAGCGGAACCCTAGCTTGAGGCCCGGTGCGGCACTGCGCCCTCTGCTGGACGAAGTGAAAAGTAGAGGGTGGTGTCTAACGTGGAGTCTGCGCACTAGCGAGAAGTCGAGACTTCCATGTTAGTTGAGGGCTCTAAGTTTGTGCTTTTTGAGTGGGTCCTTTGAATGTTTAAATGAAGGTGGCTGAAAGGATCTTGACGTCCAGGATTGGCCCCATGGTTGACTAATAAGGAAACTGAAATTGAAGATATTTGCTTCTTTACCTTCTGGCAGAAAGGAGAGGGAAAAGGGAAGTTGATTCTCCATTCCAGATGTTGTAAACTTTGCATCAAGGTGAGGCCATTGACCGAATGTGACAGTTGCATATTGTTAGATTCCAGTCTGAGTAGATTGCAGAAAAGCTTGAACTACTCAAGCTGTGATCTTTTATTCCAGTCTCTTGACCTTTTGAAAACAAAGCACTTCCCTTTCCACCCGCACCACCACCCAGCTCCTGAGCCCTGGGTTCATTTTCTGGTAATTAAATATCTATTTTAATTATCCATGCTCAGCATCAACACCAGCCCTTGCTCAGCTCAAGCTCTTGCTCACAGTGTAAGATCACTATAGCCTGAAATATAGTTCCCAGACACTGCCACTTCTCTATTAATTCCATTGGAATAACTAAAAAAAAAAGGAACTTCTCATCCAAAGAAGGAAGTCCCCTGCCCAAATGTGTCCATTCTGAACCTCACCTTGGGCTTGCTAACCCAGTTGTGTCAATAAATTTTCAGTTCCTTCTTAGATCCCCTCCTAGTACTTTTGACAACGCCTTTGACTGATTACGGAATTTAAGGGTTTATATGGTGCTCCTTTTTAGGACTCTTAAAGGCCTAGAGTCGCTGTGACAGAACAAAACTGCCACATAGGGTTTCCAAGGCTGTAAATCTTTAAGGAAGCAGACGAAGCCAACTTCCTCATCTTTCTCCCACAGAGCAACTAGTGGATTTGAAGCACTGACCTTTCCATTCTAGCAGCCCAATCCTACTGCATCACCAAGTATTCTTTATAGAGCAGAAAAACGTTTCTGGATTCAAAAACCCTTCAACCAGCTATCCTGATTTTGCCACTCAGTTGCTTTTCTCTGAGATTGATTTTGGAGTTGACATCATTTCCTACCAGTAGAATTTCTTTTTATCAGTTTCTGCCTAGAAAGAAAACCAAATCTTGTCTTGGAACAAGTGCAGCCAGCATGCTCCTTGAAAGCAATGATGATCAGACATACTTTGGACACGTTATCTGAAAGGGTCAGTCCTTGGGGAAAGAAATCATGCTGGGAAAAATAGAGGCTCAACAGAGAAGATGAAGACCCGCAGGAGGTGGGTTGACAAGATAACAATAGAATGGTGCAGGATCAGGCAGTCTCCTTCAGTTCTACGGAAGTTCACTATGATTTGAAACCTACTCAATGGCACTTAGCAATAACAACACTTCAAAAGACTTAGTTCCTTTGTGAAAAGCAATGTAGTCAAACTTTGTAAATAAATCAGTATAAAAAAATTTTTTTAAAAAAAGACTTGGTTGGACAATGATTAAGGATGACAGAATTTTTTTTTCTTCTAATTATATTTTATTAATTTTCATAAACATT